TCATCTTTGCTGCTGAGATGCAGCATTTTGTTCACGTTCCTCATGTCGCCTCCTTGCCCCCTAGGTGGGATGTGGGGGCACTTTGCATGCCTGCATTTCTTCTTTAAGGGCATCAGCCCCAAACAGGAGCTTGCAGCATCATTGGCACCTTTGTGCTGGTTTCTGTAGCTAGTGACTCCTTGTGCAATGACAGCTCCATCCCTCTTACACCAGGTAGGCTCATGCAGATCTGGAGGCACTGGGCACCATGATGTCTGTGGAGGCTATCACCTTTCCACTGGGTGCTCAAGATGGGACGTCCCCTTCTGTAGGCAGAGCAAGTCTCTGTGGGGACCTGTTCCTTGGGTAGAGGTGGGTGATTGGTTGTCGTCTGGTATTATGTAGAGCCTGTAGGTAGCCATGTGTCATTTCACCCTACTAAAGGTGTAGGAAGAAGTCTCATTTAATGGCCTAGGAGCCAAGGATGCGGAAGGAGGAATACAGGTTGCGTGTGTCAGCTGCAGTGCTCAGACAGGCTCTGCACTCTGAGGCGTCCATCAGGAATGATCTGGTGGCTAAATATAGTCCAGGGCTGCGGTGAGTGGCTCCAGTCGGGATCGATGTAAGGAGCAGCTGGGAGATGACTCAGCTCGCATGTGGTTGTGTGCATCAGCATCACATGGAATCAGTGGTCACGCAGTGATGCCTGCCGTGCTGGCTCTTCCCATGTGGTTTAGCAGGGAAAAGGGATTGCCAGTGACACGGGCTGGACCTGTGCTCTCGGCTGGGGTGGTGGTGGCTGTCCCTAAGCACGCACCGGGGTGTCTGCTAGAAGCACACGAGGCTCAAGCTCCCTGGTTGCTTTTGTCCCCATATGGGGAGGCTGTGGAGCACATGCAGAGCTTGTGCCCGCAGGAAGAGCATGGACTGGCTGGTTTGGGGAATGTCACAAGGATGACTTGTCTATTTGCAACCCCTGGTTTAGGAGGCAGGGGCAGGGATACTGTGTGCTCCGATGGAGAGCAAACCGCAGCCAGCAGTTCAGGTTTGGCGCGGTAAAGGAAGGAGATAAATCACAGGCTTATTGTTATTGAATTTAGTGGCATCGCTTTCACATTCCATTTCTCTCGCCGGCTTTCCAAGCAAACAAGAAATTACAGCACAAATGCATTCTTTTTGGCCCAGCAAACATTATGCATTAAGTTACTCGTGATTAATACCATGCAGGGTCAAGGAAATCCTCTGTGGGCTGCTCCCCGATTCCTTGGGATTTAATCTGTATTCAGTTTGCTTCTAGTCGCAGTCTTTTACAAGGAAGGCAGGAGTATGAATAAGGGGGGATAGGGACCTTGCTAATATCTTCTCTGGCTGCTTGTTAGTATGTTCCGCTGGTTCTTAGTATGTTTGTGTCTCATATATGTAGTGTGGAGAGTAACAAGTGATGGGACAAGAGGAAACAGCCTCAAACTGCACAAGGGGGGGTGAGATGGAGCTGAGGAGCAATTCCTTCCCCAAAGGGTGCTCAGGCATTGGAACAGGCTGCCCAGGGCACGGCTGGAGTCACTGACCCTGGGAGTGCTCCCAAACCATGTAGACAAGGCCCTCAGTGCCATGGGTTAGTGGTGACTTTGGCAGTGCTGGGGAATGGTTTGAGTTGATGATCTTAAAGGTCTGTTCTAACGTGGTTGATCCTATGAATCTATGGGTTACTGTCTTAAGTCACGGGTATTTGCTCTGTAGGGGATGCAGGGCAAGTAAATGTAAAGAAACAAAGTGAATCCAAGGAAAGCATGCTGTCAGTAGGGAAATGATAGGAACAGCATCCATAATGGTGCTGGTGGGCTGTGAGATATTAGTAGGGCTGTTCGTGGCCTTTGGTGGCCAGGAGAGCATTAGGACTGGCACCCAGCCCTGATCCCAACCGGACCCCATCTCAAGGCACAGCAGGATGGCAGGATGTGCTTGTCAGGGCAGATCTGTGCGTGCTTTGGCTGCACCCACCTCATGGTGTTTATGGGGCACAGCAGGTTGGTTTTAGCTGCACAGTCATGTTTGGTGCTGGATCTATCCCTCCTGCCAGCACTCGTGTCCTTGCATTTGCCTGGCTCCCATCCGCTCATCCCATGGGATTAAACCTGCTTAAAGGCAAAGCCAATGTGCCCTTGAGATGCCGTTGTCCTCAACAGCTTGGCTGGTAGGATCTATAGAAATGTAATCAAGGTCTTTAGATGTTCTTCTCCAAGTCCTGGTAACCTCATAGGCAACGATCGCTGTCGTGGCAGGGTATCAAGCCTCATCTGCCCACTGTGTCAGCATCCTTTGCTAAGGGAAGGGGGCTAGGGCTGATGAGTGTATTGATAGTGGTATTTTCCTGCTCAGGAGCAAAAGTATTTCTGTGCCTGGGAGGAGCAGAGGTTCACATCTGTGTCCAGAACGCTTGTTTCTGCGTGTCACTTTGTATGTGTGGTTTAGGAGTTAGGGGATGGGAAAGGGATGCTGACTGTGAGCTGGGAGAGGGCTGGGAAGCTCCAGCTTACACCCACCCCCCGCATGTGTGACCCCTTTTTCAGCCTGGGAGAGTAGCCCTGTCCTAAGGCTGTATTGCTGGAAGACAGACGGTGATGGTCCAGGGGGACAGCCTAGAGTGGGACAGTCCTGGCTGTGTTCTGAGCATGCAGCACCTCGAGTTTTCGAGTTGGTTTTAGTTGTCCTGGGCCACCTGCCTTCCTCTGGCAGGGTGCATGTATACCTAGTAAGGATGTGAGAAGAAGATAAGAAGATTCTCCGTCATCCATGGCTGGCACAGCCTTTCAGGTAGCGTGGAGTGTAGAGCAGGGTGTCACCCCACAGGGGTACCTAGGGGGGCACTCATAGCTGTGATTTTGCTGGTCCTGCATCACCCTCATCCTGCTCTAGAGCTTCTGTAAGTAATAGCACACATAAGACAGCCAGGCTGACTTGTGGCTCAGGGGTAGACATCCTGGGCTCCCACCAGCTGCTGTCCTTTAGGTCTAGCACTGCTTGTGAGGAGTGCTGGTTTGCAGGCTTGTGAGTGAGTGACAAGGGCCCAGTGGTGGGAGGGCTTTTATGGGATGACGTGGCTGGTTTTAGATGTTCCTGGTACCCGCTGAGGTGCTGTTACTGATAGAGCGAGGTGCAGGGAGGCTGGTAATAGGGGATAACGTCATCTCCTAGTCCCAGCGAGGAAGGGCCATCAGAGCTCATCGGAGTCAACTGGCACCACTCTGAGCGTTAACTACATTTTCCAGCAGTGCACACTTTTCATTTCCAGATTGCTGCTTCCCCCCCCATGAAGGACTTAAACAATCTTCCTTGCTATAACAGACCGTGTACTTCTGTATTCATGTGTCAAGGTATTGGGCAATTCACTGCCTTGCAGGGCACATCTAGCTGCAGAGACTGGTCTGTGGCTTGTCCCACTGAGGGAGGTGGTTGGGAAAGCAAATGTAGGGTGTTCTGGTTAAGGTTGGGATAGAGTTAACTTGCTTCGCAGTAGCTGGTACAGTGCTGTGCTTTGGATTTAGGCTGAGAATGATGCTGATGACACAGTGACGTTTTAGTTGTTGCTAAGTAAGTAGTACTTACCCTGATCTGAGGACTTCTCAGGCTCCTCCAGTGAGGAGAGGCACAAGAAGCTGGGAGGGAGCATTATCCCCTTTTAGCTTTATGTTCTGTCCCCATGCTTACTTCCCTTAGCATTATTATTATAGAATACATTATGATGTATTTTATATACATTGTCTATTTTATATTTTAGACTGTTAAGTTCTGGGCCCCTCACTGCAAGGGAGGCATTGAGGTGCTGGAGTGGGGCCAGAGAAGGGCAATGGAGCACAAGTGTGATGGGGAAAGGCTGAGGAAAGAAGGCTCATGGGGACCTGATCGCTCCCTACAACTGCCTGACAGGAGGATGGAGCCAGGTCTGCTCCCAAGGAACAAGGGATGGGACAAGAGGAAATGGCCTCAAGCTGCACCAGGGCAGGTTTAGATGGAGCTGAGGAACAATTCCTGCCCCAAAGGGTGCTCAGGCATTGGAACAGGCTGCCCAGGGCAGGGCTGCAGTCACTGTCCCTGCACGTGTTCACACACCATGTAGACAAGGCCCTCAGTGACCTGGGTTAGTGGCAGTAGACTTGGTCTTAAGGTCTTTTCCAACCTGGTTGATCCTGTGATTCTACGATTGTACTGGAGTTATAAATGCTCTTCTTATCTCAAGTTGTGGGTATTACACTCCTATGATTCTCCTCCCCATCCGACTTGGAAAGGGGGAAAAAGAGGGATGAGTGAGTTGCTGCATTGTACTTAGTTGTTGGCTGGATTAAAACAGCAACAGGGGACCCCTGATGTCCCTTTCCAGGCAGTGTCTGTATCGGCTGTGATAGATTTCTGACTCTTCCCACTGGGAGCACCCTTGTTTCAAGGGTCAGGTATGTGATGCTGTGTGACCTCGGGTCTGCTTACCTTGTATGCTTTAGGAATGGGACTGGGACAGTATTCCTGGTGTTGCAGAAGCAGTGTCAGGGCTCAGTCACTCCAAGGGAGCTGTGTCTGACTGCCCGGAGAGCTGGGAAGCGGCGTCAGGGAATGGGCTTTAATTGCTTTTTGCCAGGGCCTGGGTTATTTATGGATGTGCAGATTGCCAAGTTATTTATTAGATGGAGTATCTGGGGATAGAGTCCTATAAATCACCATGGATGGTATTGAAGGGAGCAGACGCTCAGTAATTTAAACAGCTTTCTTTAATAAACATGCTAAAAGATGAGGCTTGTTGCAGGATGTAAGAAGAGCTGGATATTGGGCTCTTGGATGTGTGTGTCTGGGGAGAAAACCAGTGTATCTGGTCCCCACTGAGCACTGGGGACCCCTCCGTGCTGGACTCCGGTCTCATACACTGCGTTGGTGACTGGACAGGGCAATGGGGTGGATGCAGCCAGCTGGTGATGGGGGTAGGTCTCGCTGGTGTGTTTGACAGCGGGTTTGCTCCTGCTTGTGTCTTGCAGTTCCCCCCCAGATTGTGAACATCTCATCAGACATCACTGTTAATGAGGGCAGCAGCGTCACCCTCATGTGCCTGGCTTTTGGGAGACCAGAGCCCACCGTCACGTGGAGACACCTCTCCGGGAAAGGTGAGACCATGCTCAGGGTTCTGAGGAAGGATCTCACATGGGAGAGATGGGGATTACAGGGATGCCAAAGGACTCTTCATCAGGGACTGTAGTGCTAGGACAAGGGGTGATGGGTTCAAACAGAAACGGGGGAAGTTCAGGTTAGATATAAGGAAGAAGTTCTTCCCTGTAAGGGTGGTGAGGCCCTGGAATAGGGTGCCCAAAGAATTGCTGAATGCTCCATCCCTGGCAGTGTTCAAGGCCAGGTTGGACAAAGCCTTGGGTGACATGTTCTAGTGGAAGGTGTCCCTGCCCATTGCAGAGGGTTGGAACTGGATGAGCTGAAGGTCCTTTCCAACCCAAACCAGTCTGTGATTCTATGGTTTTATGTCCCTGTAGAGGTGGCCAAAGGCAGTGCAAAGATTTCTGTTGCAGAGGGTAGAGACGCTGTGCCTAGGTATGGGTTGAAGATGTCCCAACCTTCCTGGGTGGATGAGAGACCAGACTGGGGGCTGTCAGAAGAGGGCAGGTCTATGGGTGAGATCCCAGCACTGGTGACAGTGTGATCTGTTTGGCCCATCTCCCAGGGCAGGGTTTTGTCAGCGAGGATGAGTACCTGGAGATCACGGGCATCACTCGGGAGCAGTCCGGGGAGTATGAATGCAGCGCCGTCAATGACGTGGCTGTTCCCGATGTGCGGAAAGTTAAAGTCACCGTCAACTGTGAGTTCAAGGGCCGGGGGAACGGTGGTGGGTGGTGGGATCGTGGCACAGGGTGACATGGCATGGGATCTCCACAGACCCACCGTTCATCTCCAATGCCAAGAACACGGGCGCCTCGGTGGGCCAGAAGGGCATCCTGCAGTGCGAGGCCTCGGCTGTCCCCGTGGCAGAGTTTCAGTGGTTCAAGGAGGACACTAGGTGAGAGCTAAGGTGTATGGAGGCAGAGTGGGTTCAACACATTGTGCTGGGTCTAAGTGGGTTGTTTCTTCCAGAGGCAACGGTGGTGGCTGATAGGGTTGATGTGGGACGCGTAGCTTATGCAGGGAGACGGGTTAGGGGATGGAGCGCTTGTCAGGGCTTGTATTGGTGGGATGAGGGAAGTCTGGAGGGGGAATGTGTGGGACTTAGCTGGTGGGAAGGGCAAGAAGCATGGCGTGTTGCACTCGAAGTATCATCAGTGTGGCTTTGAACCCTGCAGGTTAGCCAATGGACTGGAGGGTGTGCGGATCGAGAGCAAGGGACGCCTGTCCACGCTGACCTTCTTCAACGTCTCAGAGAAGGACTATGGCAACTACACGTGTGTGGCCACAAACAAGCTGGGCAACACCAATGCCAGCATCATCCTCTATGGTAGGTACCCTGGTTTTGTTTGCAGCAAGGTGTAAGGAGGAGGAGGAGGAAGAAGGAGAAGAGGAGGAGGAAGAAGAAGAGGAGGAGGAGGACGAAGAGGAGGAGGATGTGTGGCCGGCGATGAAAGGGAGTGGGTTTTATGAAACAATGCCATCCCATCGAGGTGCCAAATGGCATCAGCTCTGAGCGCAAGGATACATCAGAGGATGGTGAGGAGACCTGCACTGGCTCATGCAGGAGGGCACTGCTTAGCAGTGCTTGGTGGTGGTCATGGTGGGTGTTTAGGGTGGAGAGACAGGACATCATTGGAACACAGGCACAAGGAGAAGGCCCCAACAGGTAAGGGCACACTCTGGGGACACAGTGAAGGGTATTTGCAGGTTGTCCCCTTGGCAAGGATGCAGGCAGTTGTTAAGGGGCACAGGTAGTGGCAGATTGGGAAGTGTAGGTGTCAAGCTGGGTATCATAGGTGGCACTTGAGGTAGTATAGGTGGCACTTTGGCTAGCATAGGTATCAGGTTGGGAAGCATAATTGTTAGGTTGTACAACATCAGTGTTAGGTTGGGATTTAGGGGTCACTTTGGGTAGTGTTAGATTGGCACTTTGGGTAGCACAGGTGTTAGTTTGGGTAGCGTAGGTGGCACTTCAGGAACCATAAGTGTTAGGCTGGGTATCTAGGTGGCACTTTGGGTACTGTAGGTGTTAGGTTGGGTAGTGTAGGTGGCACTTTCAAAACCATAGGTGTTAGGCTGGGTAGAGTATGTGGCACTTTATGTAGTGTAGGTGTTAGGCTGGGTAGCATACTTGGCAATTTTAGGTTGGATATCATAGGTGTGAGGTTGGATACTGCAGGTGGCACTTTGGGAGCCATAGTTGTTAGGCTGGGTAGCATAGGTGGCACTTTGGGAACCATACGTGTTTGTGTGGCACTTCTTTAGGTAGTGTGAGCGTTAGGTTGGGTAGCATAGGTAGCAGCTGGGGAACCATAGGTGTTAGGTTGAGTAGAGTATGTGGCACTTTAAGTAGTGTAGGTGTTAGGCTGGGTACATTAGGTTGGGTAGTGCTGGTGGCACTTGGGATAGTACAGGTATTAGGTTGGGTGTTGTAAGTGGCACATAGGGTAGTGGAGGTTTGGTAGTATAGGTGGCACTTGAGGTAGCACAGGTGGCACTCTGGGTGTGCTCATGCAGCTGACTCGGGGTTAGCACAGCTTTATTAGACTGGTGACATCAGTGTAGTGGGTTGTGAATAGAGGCAGGGGAAATGGGGTGGGGGGATAGGGAGCAGAGGGACCCCCCTACCCTGCACTCTGTCAGCTGGCACCAGGCACCATAAATAATCCCATCCCACATGGGACCTCTTATAAGAAGGGAAGGGAGGGGGAGCAGAGGGACACCCCTGCACTATGTCAATTGGCACCAGGCACCATAATCCCATCCCAGAGGAGACTTCTTATCATAGGAAGGGTAGGTGTAGGAAAAGCTAACTCCCAAGGGATATGGGGAGGGAAGGAGTTAGTTGATGGCTCTAAGCCCTCCCTAACCCCCCCAAGCCCTCCATCCCCTCCCCTAACCCTTTCCGTCCCCCCAACCCCTTCCTTCCCCTCTGGAAGGAAGGGGCTAGGGGGAGAGAGGGGGTTCTTATACCTGTCCAGAGTCCATCCCAAATGTTGTGTCCCTTCTGGAAACGCAGCTCTCGTCGCCGACCATCCCAGGGTGCCCGACCTGCAAAGAAGAGCACCCACTGCCACCATCATCTCTTCATGTGTTGGTTGTTGGCCACCTTTCCTACCCACCACCAGGCCCATCTGCTTCGTCCAGTCCTGATGGTTGCATGGTCTCCTCCATCATTACGTCCTCCATCGTTGTCTCCACCACAAAGATGTGGTTCTGTGCTGTGGATTGAGAGCTGCTCGCAGGTGATACCTGAGATGTCCTAAAAGAAAAAGTCCTACCTATCCAGATAGTCCTCCTAACTCCCTCTACAACAACTCACCAGTGCCTACATCTCAGCCAGAGGATTCATAGTGACTCCTGCTAGGATGTCACCTTTTGTTTCGCTTGGTCTTCACTGGATTTCCTCATACTTCCTTATGTTCTGGGTCTGGAACCTCCTTCTCTGGCTGTCCATCCATTTCTGTCCATGTGGGCCAAGCTGCCTGGGGAAAAACCCCTCTACTCTATCTGTCTACCAAGCTTCCTCACCACACTCTTCAGCTTGGTGGCATGCCTAGCCCTACACCATGGCCATGTTCCAACCTTATATTTGTCCTTCATCATCTCCTCCTGCCTCTCCATGCCATGTGGAGCATGGGCAGACCTGTGCCTGGTCTCTCCTCCAGGCCTTTGCTTCCCTGGCTCTTCCCAACTGGCACCCACATGCACCCACCTACCCAAATCCTTCCCAAATAAGAGCCTTCATCCTATGAGATTCAACAGACCTCCATTCCACACACAGACCTCAATGGCTGCATCATCTTTGTCCTCCTCTTCCTCCTTGCCTGCTTCCTAAGAACCCCTTCACACCATGACATCAAAACATTGCCATGCACCTGACAGTCCACATGTCTGGCCAATGCCATCTCCAACTCATGCTCAGCACCAAAGGCTGATGCCTTTAGTGCTGAGAATGAGTTGGCCCACTTCCAAGCACCTCTGAAATGGCATCTGATTGCTCTTCTTCCTCACTGCTGCCACCACTATCTGTCTGTCCTGGCTTCTGCTGGGGTTAAACCACGATGTTGTCCTAGACATGTGTCTGATAGGAAGAAACCCCACATCAACCCCCTGTGATTGCCCTGGCAACGCCAACTGGTCTCCACGAGGCTAACTCAAATATTGTCCCTTCCCATTCCATGTCAAAGCTTAACCCATGGCAAACAGCTTGCAAGTGTTACACCTCACCAACTAACTCTGCCGTCCAGGACCAAAAGACCTCCAAATATAGCCTGTGAACCCCTTAACATCCCCAGCCACAGGGGGTCCATCCTACCCACCCCAAGACTCAAGTCCAGAATGGCCAAGAGCACTCAAACCAAGAGACAACAGCACACTTCTTTCCTCACCCTTGTGCTCCTGGCTATAGACTTGCCTGCACAGCCACACTCCAAATAACCGATGTCCTCTGCCACCTTCTCATGCCTATGGGGCCTCACCAAGCACCTTCCTCCTCCTCCAACAAAGACAACGCCTCCTCTAAACATCCCTCAAGCTCTTTGCCTACCTCCCCAACACCACCACCAGCAACGCTCGCCGAACAATGCATAAACTAACCTCCCTAAGAGTGGGGAATGCAACACCCCAGGAACACCCAGCGCATGGGGTGTGGGATATGAAGGACACTGATGAGGTGGGTCACTCGTGGTCACCTGCACTGCCCTTAATGCTCGCCTTTGTCTTCTTGTCTCCCCTGCACAGGCCCCGGAGCGGTGCACGACGGCGGCAACGCGGCGTCCCGGGCGGGCGCCGGGCTCTGCCTTTGGGCCACCCTCCTCGCTCGTCTCCTCCTCGACTTTTGATAAGGGAGCGGAGGGTCCCGGGAGGCCCCCGCTGCCCCCCACGGCACCCGGGGACTCCTCTCCATGGGGCGGGCGATGCGCCAGAGGATGGGCGCTGAGCAGCCGGGGATGGGCCCGTCTCGGTGCCCTTCTCGCCGCCGGTTATGCTGTACAGACCCCACCACGTGCCACCAGACTGTCACCCACCGATGTCACCCCAGGGACGTGGTCCGGCACAGACGGGGCTCCCCACAGGCACGGAGCTGTCGCCAGGGATATCCATCTCGTTGTTTCACTAAGCCACCTATGCCCGAAAAGACCCCAAGGGCTGAAGCCCCATGGCTCTGCCTTCAGCCCTCTTGGTCCTGAATGTCACTTCTCGCTGCCAAAGCTCCTCCCTAAGCGCCCTCAGTGGCTCCTTCCAAGGGGCTCAGCCCACACAACCAGGGTCAAACCCCTCACATTAGTCCTTCTCCCAGCTACCATCTTCCTTACCCAAAGCACCATCGCATTCCTGAGGGCAGGAGCCTGGTCACCCAGGGATGTGAGCCCTGAGGACTGCCACCAGCCCTCCTGGGGACCTCCTGCTCACCAGATCGGGCAGCCAGGCTGCCACCCCTCTTTGCTCCAGACCCCTGTCCACTCCTCTGCTGCCCTCCCAATGTCAGGGCCTGCCCCATGGCTCTCGTCCTCATGTGCTGCCAGCACTTAGAACCATGGAATCAACCAGGTTGGGAAAGACCTTTGAGATCATTAAGTCCAACCTTTTTCCCAGCACTGCCAAGGCCACCACTAACCCATGGCACTGAGGGCCTCGGCTACATGGTTTGGAACCACTTCCAGGGATGGTGACTCCAGCCCTGCCCTGGGCAGCCTGTTCCAATGCCTGAGCACCCTTTGGGGAAGGAATTGTTCCTCAGCTCCATCTAAACCTCTTGAGGCCGTTTCCTCTTGTCCTATCCCTTGTTCCTTGGGAGAAGAGACAATTCCCCACTTCACTAAAACCTCCTTTCAAGCAGTTGGGGAGGTTCCTCCAGGCGTGTTTTCCCAAGCACTTTCCAACCTGCCCATCAAAAGCACAACACCACCACATTGGGCAGAGGCACTAAACGACACAGCAAAACACCAGGTCCTGACACTGGCACCCAGAGGGGATGCGACCACTCTTCACCTCCCTGTTCTCCCATGGTGGCCTCTCCTACCATTTGGCCAAGTATCTCTGCTCTTTGAGGGGTGGAAAACACATGGGTGCACACTCTGAGCCGTAACATCCACATTCTGCCTTTTCTCACACACACCACGTGCCCCTGCCTGAAGAAAGTCCATCTAATGCACTTGACCCTATGGAGGAGGCTCTGGCTCCATCACTTGCTGCAGGGACAAGGACAGCTCTCACGCCCTGAGCTTGCTACTTGCCAATCCCTGCTGCTGCTACATGCCTTGGACACCAAAATGGATGCAACCAGACTCTACCCTCTGCTTTCTCCCCTGCTACCCGTGATGATGGCCCCATAACCTCCCTCCCTACTGAATCACAGCCCCAACAGCATCCTGCACCACAGTCCTGTATGTGGTGGCAGCCCTGAGCCTTCCCAATGCCCCGTGTCCACCTGGGAATGCACCAGGGATAGACCCTCCTGTCCTGCCTCTGCACAGTCACCTACAATGCCAGACCCTATGCCTGGACACAGAGCTTCAGCTCTATAACACAGCGAGCAAGCACACAAAGCATCCAAGTCCTGCCCTATGCCTCCCCATACCTTGTCCCTTCCTTCTCCTTCCATAAGTGACATGGCTTAAGAGCAATGACCATGCACACGCTGCCTTTCCCATGCAAACTTTGCTGCTACCACAACCTCCTTGCTCTGCCATCCTACTGGAGAAAGCTGGGGCTGATGGTCCTCAACGCACAAGACCATAGAATCAACCAGGTTGGAAAAGACCTTTAAGATCATCAAGTCCAACCATTACCCCAGGACTGCCAAGACCACCACTAAACCATGTCATTGAGGGCTACACCCTCTAGCCAGAAGCCACCATGGGCCACCTCTCCATCCGTTATGCAGCCCCACAAGCACAGGACCTACACAAAAAGAAAGCAACAACTACAACATCTCAGTGGATGGTCCTGCCTCCACACCCTGGATGTTCAACATGTACCATGGCTGACTGCTAAAACCAACGCTGCCCGATGCGCTGGCTTACCTGATGGATGAGGATCCAGCACAGGGCTGACCTGGAGAGTCCATGTCCTGCAGTCCCTGTGGTCCTGCTCCTCTTCTCCAGCAGTGAGCTGGGTCCTAGCACATGGCCCTGGGTGGCACCATCTTCAGCCAGCACGGCGACAAGCACATCCTTCTCATGTGCCAGCTCCAAAAATCCCCTTGGGCGCAGGAGATACCTTGCCCCAGCACCTCCACCAGTCCACACCACCCTGTGACGGCCCCTCACCACCTCTCCGTGCCCCTTCCCGACCAGCCCCATATGTCCCTGTCCCCACAGTAAACGCTGACATAGCCCCAGATGCACAAGGGCAGTGGCATATTGGAGGTGACGACGAGACACCATGATGCCAAGCGGACCTGGCGCCGGGGCCACCCCATGCCCAGTCCTCCTCCTCCTCCTCCCTGGGTTGGGGTTCCCCCATCCTCTGCCTTGGATGGTGGTTGACATTCCCGTGCCATGTAACGTGCCATTGTGAGGAACGTGTTGGCTCTTGGAGGCCGGCTCTCCCCGTTGGGACGCTCGGGGGGGTGGCCGGGCACCCGGGATGGGGGGAATGTGGCTCCCGGGTCTCTCCGGCTGATGGCCGTGATGGCCAGTCTTGAGTTTCCGTCATTGTATTCCAAGGGTGGCTCTACTACCTGAGATTTGTGCATGTTACATTGTAGTTGTAACCTTTTCTAATTCGGCAAGAATAAGAGATGGTTGTGATTGTGCAGTGTATCAATAAAGTTTGACCAACTTTGTACCTTCGGGGCTTTGCTTCATGGACCCCATAAACACCATGATGGATGCTTTGACCTCCCCCATCCCAACCAGGGGCTGTTCAAGTGTCCCTCATCCCATGTGTCTCCTCTGGGGCCCACACGTACCTGTTGATGGAGACCCTGCAGGGTAAAGACCAGCTTTGCTCTTATGGCTCACCTAAGTTCTGCAGAAGCTGCTCAGTTGGGAGCTTCCTTTGAGCAGTTCCTGGCATCTTCTCCATTGTCTCTTAACAAGACCTGCTCCAAAAACTAAACCTACCCACAAAGTCTCTGTGGACAACACACTCCTAAGGGTGGTTTGCTCCCATTGGGATCTGACGGTGTGTGACATGGACAAAAAGTCTTCATCAAAGGACTAAGACCACAAGGACCGGGAGCAGAAGAAGCTGGCTCCCCAGCGCAGCTATGATCTCACCCTAAAAACATGGGGCTGGGATAGTCCCCGGGGGATGCTTCATGTTTCCACCCCATCTACTGGGAGAAAACATTCAACGAGCTCCCCTAAAGGGGGACAGGGGACTTGATGACCCCCTTGAGTGATCCCAGCAGTAAGGTAAGTGCTTCCTCAGGAAAGGGATTTGGCAAGGAGTGAGCTGCCCTACACTGTGCATCCTCCCGGGTGTCCCAAACGCTGCTGTCCCTGGGGTGTATGAGCCTGGCAGAAAGTCTCCCTGCCTTGGATGAGCTACATCCTGACCCCATGCTCCTCTACCCGAAAGGCTTTCCCCAGTGTTACCATGGGAAACCCTATGTGCTTTGAGCCTCTCCAAAACCAAATTGCTATCAGGGAGCTAGGACTACTAGCCTCTCTATTGCTTCCCATCTTACCGTGCCAAGTTTGTTGGGTATCTAGCAATGGATCAACTTCCATGGGAGATAAACACCTATGGGCAGCCTGATATCCCATCTGCCAGCACACCTCACTGACACCATCACCCAGCACCAGGGATGTAGCGCAGCCCCTTTCCACATGTCCCTGGCCTTGGGTTGCCCATTGGCTCCCTTCCTGGTTTGGATGGTTTCCTCCCTGGCCCTCAACAACACCCAACTTGTGCCTAAGGACAAGGGTCTCAGCTGCTAGGTCCAGAGGGATGGAGGGTGTATATTCACCCTATTCACCACCAAGTGACACCAGTACATATGTCAGTAAATACACACAGAAATACATCCACGGAGCAGCCTTGCTCTCAGTCTTTAACTTGCTCTTTGTCCCTCAGCCTCTGGCATCACACTCCTTGATCTCTCACCTAGAGCATCGAAAAGTTGACAGTTACAGAGAGGTGAAGGAGACGGCCCCATTACCTCCATCCCCATTATGAGTATGAGCACTCCCCATGCCCCCCAGGCACTGCCTCTGCTGCCAGGCTGGTTCTACTTGTCCTGGCAGCCCCAAGAGCTGCACAAAGCCCTCCACCACCTTTCTCCCTGGGAGAGATGGAGGTACATCTGCTGCAGAAGACAAATCTGGCTCCAGTGCTTGCTCCTATAAACCACATCCATAGGAAAGGGCTGGTTCCAGCCTCCCCATACTGGGGCTGGTCTGGCCAGATGCCTTCTCCCAGTGCCATCCTGACCCTGGGATGCAGGAAACCGATCAACTGTCTTGTCTCTACAACCTCATTACCCTGTCTCTTACCTGGGACTTTGCCCTTGATCCTAGAATCAAAAAGGTTGGAAAAGACCTTTAAGATCATCAAGTCCAGCCTTTACCCCAGCACTGACAAGGCAGTGACCCATATCACTGAGGGCCTCGGCTAAACGGTGTGTGAACACTTCCAGGGCTGCTGACTCCAGCCCTGCCCTGGGCAGCCTATTCCAATGCCTGAGCACCCTTTGGGGAAGGATTTGTTCCTCATCTCCATCTAAACCACCCCTAGTGCAGCTTGAAGCCGTTTCCTCTTGTCCTATCCCTTGTGCCTTGGGAAAAGAGCCAGACCAGTTTTGCTCAGCCACTATATGTCACAAGGCAACTCCTTACCATGCCTTTTGCTCTCTCCCTCTTCTCCATGTGCATCTCTTGGGTGACACAAACTCATCATAAGGCCAAGAAATCAAAACCCCAACAAAAGCGTCCTGCCATCACTAACAAGCAGCTTCTGATCCTACAAGAACATGCCAAGCAGCTTCAGGAAAACCAGCACACGGAGCCAAAGACCAAAAGCACCAAGTAACCATCAGCAAAACACCAAGATTGATACAAGCCAAACTCCAGCCCAGGACACTTCACCCTGTGCTTGGCATCCAGTTTCCTACACTCACCTCATCACCGCGCCTCCTTCCCATGGGACTCACTTCAGCCGATCCATGAGGCTCATGGGAAGCTTTTGGGATACCGAGTGGGATCCTGCATGGGGGAAACAGGGCAGAGCTACCCCCCCCGCACACTCCCCATGTACTCACCAAAGCCTTACCTGTGACACGTCACTGGTGAGGTCCAGGGTGCCTCCTCTCCCGGTGTCCCTCCCCATGTCCCTCCCTGTTACCCAGGGTGGGAGAGCACGGCAATGAGCACCACAACCAGACGGAGCGGCCACATGGAACAATCGTTTTAATGGATAGGCAGAGAGAGCCCCCCCCTCGCCGCCCGCCCGTGCTCCCCGCGTGCCCCCCGCTGTCAGCTGCAGGCAAGGAAAGGAACCCAAAGGAGGAAAAGTGACCGCAGGAGAGACCCACCACTGCAACATTCCCAATCCCACGGTTCGGGGTGGCCGGGTGCCCATCGCTTCGCCGCCTTTTCCTTATATCTTTGTTGGTTTTTTATATATATATATATATATACACACACACACACACGCAAACACACACACACATATACATACATATATATATATATATATAAAAATAGAAAACTGAGCTACATAGATCTCCCCCTATCCCTGCCCCATGGCAAAAGGCGACAGAGATGGGCCCCGGTCCCCCGTGGCCCTTTGTCACCGGTGACCCGAGAGCAGAAAGGTGAAGGGGTTTGGGGACATGTGGACCAAGACGCTGGTCTCGTTGAGGACCAATACACACCTAACTCCATATACAGCATGCAGTAATGGCAGCGGAAGGACCCAGCTGGGAACCGTGGCTAGAAGGCTAACCAAAAAGAAAAATTATATATATATATATATGTATATTTATATATACTGTATATATATATCCCATAAAAAGATTTAGCGTCTCCCTCCGCCTCGACGTGTGGCGAGAGTTGCCCGTGCCCTTGGCAAGAAATGTTCAGACATCAGACTGCTTTTCGGGCCGGTTTTGGGGGGATTTTGCACAGGTTTCTTCCTTCTCCTCCTCCTTCTCCATGCCTCCTTGGCTGCGCGGCGCTTGACAACTTCTCTCTGCTCGCTCCTCCTCTCCTTTCTTCCTTTCTTCTTTATTCCTCCTTTTGATTTTTTTCTTCCCCCTCGGTTTTTTGCATCTCTGTTTTTTAGGAACTAAGAGTTCTAGGCTCGTATCAGAAAATACAATTAATAAAATGAACCATGATATAGAATCCCTTCTCATTCACAATGTCCGTGGGTGGTACGATGAACGCGTGGCTCGACGCCGGTCTCCTTCCTCCCTTTCTGTCTGTGGTGGTGTGGTAACTGTTGAAGATCTATATATCTATACATATATATATATATATGTATATGTGGATATATATATATATATTCTGGAACACAAATGGCGGCACAGTCCTTGAGAAGACGGGGAAATCTCAGCCAAGAAGAGAACCGGCACGGTTCTGCATGGAGGGTCCCGTGGGAAGGAGCGGGCGGGTGGTGGGAAGCGCCGTGCCCCATGGCCCTGCTTGTTCTCTGTGGGCAGAGAACAGCGAAAAAGGGGAGAAAAAAGGCCTGGGAGACCAAAAAAAAATATAGGGAAAAAAAGAAAAGAAGACTCAGTTGCGTTGCATCTTCAGCAGGAAGCCTGGGATTTGTTCTGCTTTTGTTGCAGTTTCTCTCCTTTCCAAATTCTCATTGCGGTTTGTTGCATGGTTTGGTGCTTCTCTCCCCCTCCCCAGGTGGCCTGGCCGGATACTCTCTCAATTCTTATGATTATTTTCGGAAACGGTGAACACATCATCTTCTTCTTCTTGTTCTTCTTCTTCTTGTTCTTCCTCCTCTCCCTTCTGCTTGCACTCGCTGGCCATGGTCATCGCCGCCGCTGCTCCGCGGGCCGGCTTCTCAGGTCAAAAGTGGAGGGCGAGCTGGGCGAGCGGCAGGGCCAGGAGCCACACGCAGCCTCCTCGCCGCCACGCGCCGTTGTTCCCATCGTGGACTGCACCAGGACCTGTGGATGGGAGAGGAACAACCCCGTGGTTAACCACAGAGCCAATAAAACCCACTAAAACCCAACTACCTGAAAGGAGGTTGGAGTGAGGGGCTGGTCTCTTCTCCCAAGGAACAAGGGATGGGATAAGAGGAAACGGCCTCAAGCTGCACCAGGGCAGGTTTAGATGGAGCTGAAGAACAATTCCTGCCCCAGAGGGTGCTCAGGCATTGGAACAGGCTGCCCAGGGCAGGGCTGCAGTCACCACACTTTTGAAGTGTTCAAAAGCCATGTAGATGAGGCCCTCATTGACATGGGTTAGGGGTGGCCTTGGCAGTGTTGGGGTAAAGGTTGGACTTGCTGATCTTAAAGGTCTTTTCCAACCTGGCTGATTCTGTGTTTCTATGAAAAGAAAACCAACAAACCCACATAATTTGGGCTCCTGGTGTCATGGCTCTGATAGCACAGTGGGTATCCACATCTGCCCATGCCATTATCAACCCCAGCCTCTGGGACATAATCCCCTCCGTAAGCCCACTATGGTCCTGATACCCCATATTGAGCCTATCCCCTGCTCATCACCACCAACCAACCTCTCTCAATGCCCTTTGTCCTTCCCCCAAAATCTGTCCACATTTCCAGTCACACTTGTAGAGGACAAGATGGGTTTGCCCCAACACTGTCCACACTCTGCCAGCCCCAGTGAGTCAGCACATAGGGCTGACCACCCTGT